TTATTGTAAAAAATTTTATAACGTAAGACTTGACGTTGGCTATATTTACATTATCTAAATCAGCATTTTTCAAAATTGTTCGACAACTGATTGAAAAAGAGGAGGAAAGCACTGTCCGCTAAAAATTGTAATGAAAAATAGCGTAAAGTAATAAACTTAATAAAAATAAATTCGACACTTTTAAAATTTTATTATTTAAATGAAACAGCTTATTATACAATATGGCACCATCAAGAACTTTGGTATTATTTTACGAAAGAAATTGTAAGATGAATGAGCAATTATTTATTGTGCACATTATTGTCACATTGCCGGGCTGCAATTTTTAATCATATTTTTAATTAATTTAATTTAAAATATATGCTCTCCATCTCAAATTAATAGTGTCTTGCCCATGTACGGTACATTATACTTTTCCTGTTTGCAATAGAGTCGATCTAACTCCTTTCAGGGGAAATGTTTTGAATTGAAATAACGTGACTTCCGATGAAAACTGGAAGTTTGAATATAGTTAATCGGGGCCTTCTGCCTCTAAGCATTCCATATCTGGTCTCGACTTTTATCTATATAACTCCGTTCTCGAGATTAAGGAATGATAGGCAGATAGACAGTGTAAATTTATAGGTCTACAATTTTTTCAAATTGCTGTTCAGTTAATATATCGAAATGAGTCTCAAGAAAAAAATTAAAATATAGGGTGATTCAAAGAACATGAAATTTTGTAACGGAGATTAATGGAAGAGAATAAATACTTTAGAAACATTTATTTTTGCCAGTTAATAGTAGATTAAGCCATTGATGAATTTTGCACTAACTATTGATATTTATTTCTCGTTGATAACAAACAGCAGTTCGGTGGTTTATTCGTACAGGACAAGGCGACACATATGGGCGGTCTGCCGAAAGGGATGCTTCCCGGAAAGTCTTTTATGGGAAACTGGCTTACAGCAACTCGAACAGCCTCGATAATGTCTGGCGTGTGAACGGTTCGCAATCTCCCTGCAGATTTCTCTTTCAGAGTCGAACATACCTCTTCAAAATTACGGACTTATGTGTTAATTGCATTTGCTGATGGAACACGACCATGTCGTTCTATATTGAAATTCTGTCGAAATTCTTTACGCGCGGCCCCTACACTGCTATTCTTATAATGAATATATCCTCCACTACTCCATGATTACTAAATGGGAATATGGTGCTAGCAGGTCTTTACGAATATGTCATTAAGCGCTTCCTGCCTACCATGGCTACCGCAACACGTTTAAGATTTTCCGTTCTTTGGAGTCATCCTCTATTACCAGTCCTAGCTATAAAACTTTGGAATTATTGATCAATTTAGATCAATTATTTTTAAATCTGGATTTCAGTAAGAAATTATTAATAGAGATTTAAACTTCTATATGAACAACTGGTATTCAGGTAAAGGTATCCTTTTTTATATTTTTAATGATAGTTATTGGACGGCAATTTGAAAAAAAAATTGTAGACCTATAAATTCCCACTGTCATCCGTTTGGTTTTCTGTCTGTCTGTTCTTCCTTAATCTCAAGAACGGAATTAGATAAATGAAAGCCGAGACCAGATACGGAAAGTTTAGGGGCATGAGGTCCCGATTAACTATATATGAAATTCCGGTTTGGACCAGAAGTCACGTTATTTCAATTCAAAATGTTTTCCTTGAAAGGAGTTAGATGACTGGTACAACGCACTGACAACGAAATTCAATCCCTTCCTGAGCATAGCGAGACAAATGTATGAAGGACACTTCGAATCGTTTCGTCTTTTGGATCTCTGGCAGGCCACATTTATTTACTCATATTTGTTACATTCTTATACCTGAGTTGCTTCGCAGCCCTTTTTACAGTTCCAAACATAAACGACACTTCCAGACACAAATTTCTAATGTTTGCAGTTATGTCATTTCGGACGGTATCATCCAACTTCAGCATAACGTCACTCCTTGCCATTTTTGGACGATCTGAACGCTCATTCCTTTCTTAAACTCAGCACACCATCGTGTAGTGATTAGTACGACAAGCATGTCTGTCCGTACACTTCGCACTTCCATGAATGAATTTTGGTCGCTGAACACCGTTCTATTGTAAGAAAATTAATGACAGCGCGTTTATCAGACTTCTAGGATTCGATATGGGCACTGCCATCTTTAATTGCATGACTTATTGCGAAGTCATATTTAGCATCAAATACACGGCATTTATCCAAATGTCACTCTCATTGAATATATGCTGCGAGAAATCTCTCATTAATTTCGGATCATAGCAAAATATTTAATGGTTAAACCGTTGCTTTCTTTGGAGAAGGATATGGATTGATATAAGGATAGGTATATGCCTGTGCAAAAATCCATCACGGTCATTACAAAACGAAAGCAATGAAAAAATGAAGATAAAAAACAAATTGTTCTTTGGACAAAGGATATATGGTCCTTTCTTGTTTCAATAGAGGACAAAGACAGTTTAGCTAAAATAAAGGATTATTTTTTGAATTAATGGATGTCTGGAATCCTATGCATAAGCAACTTTTATATAGTAAAAGGTCATGTGACATTTAATGAGAGATCGGACCGAAAAACAAAAACATCGGATTTTTTGTAAATTATAGGCCTACATTAAATCCGATTCTAGTAATAATCGAAGTAATAAAAATAATCTATATAAATTGCATTCAGTTATAATCGCAGACGAAAACTAAGAAACAATATTTGTACTATAGTTATTTAATTTTACTGAGAATTTTAATGTTGCATCTCATTAATTACAATTGGCAGTTAACACACATTTCCAACTCTAGTACGGTATTTTGAAAATAAAACACGAATACTACCGGTAACTACAGTATTTATATTTATCGTTTATATCCTTATGATTTTTATTTACTGGATACGTGGACTTAAGTAAATTATATATGACGTAAATATGTTTAAGGATTTAGATACTATGCTTGCCATAGAAAAAGTCACGGAGAGCCTCAGGTTACACTTACTTGGCCTATGAGTTATTTCTGGATCGTTTAACAACTCAATTCTGGCATGTGTTAATTACTTTAATGTCATTTAGCGTATTCTTGTCAGTAATTGATTAACTGTGTTGTATTGAAAGAAATATAAATTACTGTATATATAATTTCATTTTTCAAATCGAAATAATCAGGATAAATTTATATATTTCTGAATTTATTCTAAAACATAAAATTTTCATTTTTATATAAATCCTTGTCAGTTTTCTTTGGTATTACAGAGGTGGGTTAGTTTGATTATTATAAAACATATAACATACTACAATATTATTATTTGATATATATAAGATTATTTATTTAATGACATTTTTGCTATTTCAACATCTGATGTTTGTAATCTCTACGCAAAATAATAAAACATACAATTAAAGTTACGTATTTTTTTGCATCTGAAAAATTTCACTTATAATAATGAAACCTGCCTTCTCAGAATTCGATTGAACACATTAAAAACAAAAATTTTTTTACTATTGATTATAACATTATACAGTATATACTGTATATGTATTTAATTACAATACTATCATATAATCTTAATGGAAAAAATAATCTGCTTTCAGGATTTGCAAAATCCTTGTGAAAAAGTTATAAACAAAAAATTAGGATCGTTGAATCGATTTATTTCATAATTGAGATTTGAGTGTTACGAGAGACTTTCGCGTATAGGCCTACCACAACTGAAAGATCGCACTTTTCCTCGATTTTGTGACACAAATGCACATTTGAGACTGCAAGAAAAATTTAACTATTTAAAAATAATGTCAATATCCCGTTCTTGCTTCTCATCCAACTGGATTTTCGTTATTCTTCTAAAAATTTATAGTAACAATTAAAATTTATGAAAGTAAACGTCATGAGAAAACACGTGAAGAAGAAGTAGCGACATCTCTGTAGGAAAATACTAACTACCGAGCAGCTAAATCGAACCTTAAAATAATCTGAGCCAATTTTAATTCATTAGACTGACTCGTGAGATGAATAAAAAAACCCAAAGTATTCTTTTCTGATATGCAATTTCCAATTTTAAAGTGTTTAACGTTGTGTGTTCCTTTTAACAGATTATTTACAATTAAATGCAAACTTACGATTATTTTTCCATAATATAATAAATAATTGTAGCCTATAATTATTTGCATGAATAAATTATTTTTTTAATATTTAAATGTGTTTTAAACACACCTTAATTTTATAATGATCTTTAACATATAAAAACTCGTGCAGGTTTTTATTGTCCCTAATTATTCAGTAACGATGTTATTATCAATAAAGTTAATTGGTCGACTGCTTTTAAGAATGTACAGTTTGACTTAAAGGCTGGCCGTAGAACAGCCATTAAATTAGGTTATAGTAATCTAACTTGTGGTTGACCCGCAGCTATTAACATTAAAACGATCGCTTTGGTTTCTATCTCGAAAGACCCGATATCGGCGAAAATTTTCGATTTGTTATAACAAATCACTTGTAGTTTGTAATTAATAATTGAACACTTTAGTAATTAATAAAGTTTTATTCATAATGTTAAACCTTGAAATCGCAGCGTGAATTATTAAATTAATGAAGTATCTTCATCTATTGACCGAAGAAAATGATTTATTTCGAAGTGATATACGTTGCTTTATAATTTTTCAAACTTGCAAAATCTTACAAAAATCCCATTCATATACGTTAGTGTATATTTAATTAGATTGTAAATTTAAAAAAAAAAATTCTATTGATTTTGTTTTGACAAATTGTATATCGCATCCATCAAAACTGTCCATTATAAATATATCGAAAATTTGTTAGTTCTTAGCATTTTAATTATTATTTGATGTAATTTTTCTTCATTTTCCTCCCGTTTTAATTGAATGTCATTAGCAAACTTTCGTCACTTTTAATTATCTATATACTTTAAAATAGATGTAAATAAATGAAATGCTGATACCTAACTGTAAAAGATAAAATAATTTTTTTTTTTCGTTTCAGGCAAGTATTTGTGATGCATTTCCAACAGTCGAATAGGACCGATTACGAGAATTTAAAACTATTATGTCGATGCTTTGGACTCTTTTATAGTTCTCATCAAGCACCTCGAGGATTACATAATAATATGTTGAGGTAAGGACCAACTAGGCAATTTATTAAATGGCTTTGTTGGTTGATTCCCTACAGGGTTAATTCTGTATTTCCTCAACTTGTATTTTTTTTTTCTTCTTCTTCGTCTTCCACTTCGTTCGATAAATAAAATCATCGAGATTATTGGACACTGTTGTCACAAAGAATAACCTGAATATATATATTTTTTTCTGTTGGTATTAATTCATTCTTCTCTGAAGATTTTTACTGTTACCAAAAATAAATTTTATTGAGTTGTAGCTTTTATATGATGAAAAGGTAAGTACAGTTTTTCGGTTCGCAGTGTCAACAGAACAATGAATTTTTCACCACCAATCTAAAGAGAACCAAACAGTTTGGGTTGTAAGCGCCCAAATAGAAAGTAGCACTTTTATTTGTGAAGAATCCTATTTCTTCCCCGACCAAAAGTACATTGGCTATGTAACTTACATAGAGGAGAAATAAACCGAAACAAGTCAAACAGAGACAAGCTTGTGTAAATAAGTCAGTTTTATTTTCCTTTCACTATCAAACAAGTAAGAAATTTTTCGAATTTCTTTAAACATATGGCATTCTAGTGTATCCAATTGAGGTGAAAAAAATAATACTTTTTGTTTAGTTGTCTTCGAATAGAAATCTTTTTCGTGTATTTTTATAAATACAATTAATAAATCAAAAAGATTTTTTAAAAACGAAAATATATCTTCGAGGTTGCAACTTTCTCTATTTAGGAAAGTCACAAAAGATGTAACGGAGCGTCACGTACTTGTTGTAATGATACACTAATGAGAACATGGAAGTGACAGGTACTTTCCTCTATTCGAATCCAGACGCATTAGATTCAAAGTGAGATTTATGTGAAAAATACTAAATTGTTTTTATGATATCGTATATTGCAATGGTTAAATTAATAAAATTTTAATTTGTTTATGAAAATCTTAGCTAAATATAATGAAAACTTACTGATTATACAATTAAAATTTTACAATAGATAAAGCAACCGGATAAATGCAGCGAGTTATCAAAGTCTGTTTCTCTAATTTGAGTCAATCAACTTAATTAGAAAAGTTAGTTGTACTTAATAATCTACTACCTACCTATTTTCTGATGTTTATTTAATAATAAAGCAATGCATTTTTGGATGATTAACATTATAGATTTTGTTTTCCTATTCATTTATACCAGTGTTTCTCAACCTCTAACGAATCGTCGCCCACTTCAACGTAGTATTGCCCCCTCAACATGGAAAAACGCCCACATGGGGCAATATCGCCCCCGTTGAGAAACACTGATTTATACCATTTAAATTATTTTCATCTCTGCTATTGCTAATTATCTCATTTCTACTAAATTATATACTAATACACTATTTATATTCATTCCTATTCATTTATAAAAGTATACATATATATATATATAATTGTAATGATTAAAGCATGAAGTAAATTTAAATTGATTAATGGCTTTATTTTTTGTTGTTAAGAAGTTTCATAAGTATCAATTTAGCTAAAAAAATTTATATTAGCATATATTCTAATGATATCGATCGCTGCCCATTCGCATTTGTAAAGATTGACAATGATGAATGATTTATGATTATGTAAAATTTTTTTCTGTTAAAATTTGATATATGAAAGAGAAGAAGATAAGTATTTATAGAAGATTGGCATCTTCCTTATAATGCTTATAAATCCTTGATATCTCATATCCATATAATGTTAAAAATGGTAAGAGGTGTTAAAAATTTGTATGTTATTAATACAAGTTACAAATTATGTTCAGCTGTTAAGAATAATTAAAATGCTTTAAAAAACTTAACATATAATAATTAATATTTAAGATAAATAGCTTTAAAATATCTTTATATATATAATGATAAGAAGCTGTACCTCTTTAAAATTTTAACTTAGGATTTTTTGAAGTCATCTTATGCATTTCTAAATTTTATGACTAATTAAAATTTTTTAATGCATTTATAAATAATCAACTTTATTTACTAATTATTACTGTATTATTGATTCAAGTTCCCCCCATTTCCTTATTAATTTTATTTATAAAATGAGCTTCCTAATTTATTGTATTATGTTATAGAATTATATATGTTAATATTAATAATTTACATAGTGAAAGTACGTTAGTTTATTTTCAATTTTGAGACTTACACTTAATTAATCTTTGTTGAAGTAAATTAAAATTATTATATTTTTAATAATAATAGAATGTATTGAAGTAGTACCGCGTTGACAAAAAAGTTACGCATTCAGATAATATTGTTCACTGACTGCAAAATTCGGCATACGGCTATGTCTCAGTCAGGTAAGTAAATGATTTTAGTTTGGTACAATTGCATGCCAGGTAATGCTATCAAAGTGCCATAAGATTACTACTTTAGTATTTTATAAAAAGACTCAGTGGCAGAGGCTTACTGTGAGGAATTCATTTGTTCAGAATTTTTAGTGTATCTGTTGTTTGAAGGTCTTCGAACGCAAGCATACCTGTACATCCGCAGTCAAAGACATCATACACTGCTGACCGAGTTTGAGAAAAACCTTATTATCTGGCTGAGGTAAGCAGATTAGCCGTTTAGCTGAATTGCTTGTCATCTGGACCATTGTGACGTGATTGTGGAAGATGTTGGGGATAGTAGATAAGTGAGGGCATACATTCGGCGGGCAGGCTCTGGGTGTTCCAAGACAGACAACCGAGAGAGATGATCGTCTGATCATGAAACAATCACGAACAGTTGCAACTGAATCTTTGTTTATCATCTAAAGAGACGTGGAAGCCTCGCTAGATGATCTTGTTCTCTTTTAGGAGACGAACTATGACAAAATTTGCATGCATATGGCGACCACCGTGTTAGAATGGAGGAGGATCACTGGTGAGCGCTTCAATCTCCTTTTATTCCCACCAGTAGCCGAGTGAATAAAAACCATTGAACTCTGTAGTCGATTATGGATAGGTTCGCGCCTCACTATCGGCCTGATCAAGTGCTCGATAGTGAGACGCGAACCCTGAAGTTTGCCGGAATTTCTTCACGTGTCTGACGGCTAAATAGGTGCCAGTTTCGCATAAAAGTCCTCCCAGGAAGATCATACACGTGTTGTTTTTCATGCCTTCTACCATCAGTCCATCTCCTCTTTAGCGATGTGCTGCTCAATAGTCAGCGGCACATTTCCGCTACTGCTAGTTTGCTGGTTTGGGGAACCAACTCGTATGACAGTTATATAGTGGTTCGAGAGAAATTGATGACTACGCTCTAGTGTTTTTTTTTTTTTTTATGGCAGGGCTGCAAACAGCCATTTTTTAGAAAGAAAACGCTCAGAAGAACACAGCTAAGATCTCCAAAAATTTTTCCGACGAGTCGCCACATTTCCTTGACCTGCCCGATGTCCAGATTAAGCGACTAACAAGCATTCGTGGAAAAAATATGGGACGCTAATTTCAGGCATGTATGACTATGAGGGATTTGAAGCAGTAGTTGTTACCGTGCCCGTTTGCCTTTATGTTCGATCGTATCGCCGCATTATGACGCAAAAAATACTAAAAATTCCTTTAAATTGTTGTTGCACGGGAAAACCCTTTAACTAAGAAATTGTAATCACTTATTACTATCGTCATTTTTTCGTACTAATAATGTTCCAACGTCTCTTCCTCGGTGCGTAAGTTTTGTTATCAGCGAATATATCAATATCAATCAAATTGAAAATAATACATTTTGTTTTCTGAAAATTACTAAAAATCGAATTAAATAATCGTTATAAATAGGTATCTAAAATATAATTTAGTTCGATTTGAATATTTGACATTATATTTTAAATTAAATCGATAAAATTTTTGATTGATAAATCTAAAAGCTTAATTCGATTTTTCCCTACAAGACCATAATAACTATTAAGTGGCAAGTTTCATGTATTCATCTAAATAAGGTCGAAAAGAGAGTGAGGAAACTCGGGCTAAAGCCATAGGGCCCGAGCTAAAACAGAGGCCCAGATCGGGTTTCTATAATATAGAATACTTTTAATTACGAGGTGTAGAAGATCAATTTATGTACTGTATTTAAGAAAAATTCTTAAAAATAGACAATACTTAAAAGTGTCTTCTAACTTTGTCCTTTTGCACGCACACGAGGAAATTAACAGTGCCACGGCGGAGTCGACCTTACATTTGAGGCTATTCGTCTGCCTCAATATGTAAAACGTTAAAATCATTCCTCTGGCGACGCACAATTAAAAATTTTGACATGAAGAATTTAACAGTTAATTTCCTCGTACGTGTGCAAAAGGACAGTTTGAAGACACTTTTACGTATTGTCTATTTTTAAGAATTTTTCTTAAATTTTGTAAATTTGAACTTATTTATCCTGGCAATTTTTATCATTATGTACTATACTTTGAAATATGTAAAAGGAGAAAAATAAATGTGATAAACAGAACGTCACGTCGGAAGAAGGTATATAAGGACCTGGAAGGACCTAACCCCCAGGGTCCGTAACCGTTATCCGTAGTCCTATGTATAAAAACGATATTTGATCGTAAACGATATATTTTAGTATAGGTGTCTGACTCTTTTTTCTTATATATATTTTACATCTTTTCAGTTTTTTATCATCCGCCAATAGCGATGCCTAGTTTCTTAAACAAAAACTTCAAACATATCAAAACCAATAATGATTTGACTCTACCTTTGACGAATAATCTCATAAGAGAGCTGAAATGTTTTAAATTTTACATCTCTCAACAGTTTCTCTGTTTTCAAAGTCAATACCCTTCTGTCGCTTTCGGATAAATTCAATTTGCTTTATATAGGAGTCGTACCCGGGTCAAGAATTTAAATTGACGTTTATGTCTTTCGGAATATTGTGTGTTTTGATCAATAAATGAATACTTATTACGAAAAAATATACGTATATCCGCTAGTTTTTCTCTCAATTATTTAAATAAATATTTAATGTTTTGTTTTTATTTTAAGTTCGTGTTTAATTGTTGATTAATGGAAATATTTTTAAGTATCTTAATTAATTATTTATATTAATTTGTAAGCATAAAATGTAAGTGATAAATAATTTAATTTTCAAATTATTCATTATATTCACTTTGAAAATATAGATACTTACAGAAATATTTATGGATCTCTTTCTAATGCAAAATAGTATCTCATCACTGACAAAATGATTTTTTTATTTTTTCTTACTTTTTCCGGCCTGCGTCACAAATTTATTGACATATGCAAATATTAAACAAATAAAACTTATTCCAAAAGTGAAACGTGTCAAAGTTTAGTTAAATTATTACATTCGTTTTCTAGCGAAAATATTTTCCCAATGTTGAAAGTAATTGTTGATTTTTTTTTCTTTTTCTTTTTCTTAAGAGAGATTAGAAGAAACGAGATATAACCTTTCTGTTAACAGCTTAATGGATCTTGTGTTATAAATTAGATATTGGAATTGGCATCCCGTGAGAATTCAAAATGGTCATGCTAGAAACAAATGGTTCAAAATGGTTGTATCCGAGTTATCTTTTTGTATCATACTTTATTACAGGGATTATTACTGCTTTCATTGTTAGAAACGTTGCTATATATTTGTATTATTAGCAATAATTTATTTTATTATTTTATTTATAATATATATTACATAATAGCGATATTTATTGGTCTATAAATATAAGTGAAAAAAAAATTATCTTTTTAGTTGTAAATTAAAAAAATCATTTAGCTGAAAACGATAGTTATCAGTATTTTATAGTTTTTATTAATTATTTTTANAAATAATATATATATATATATATATAAATTTATTTATTGGAAAATTTTTCAATCTGATATATGACATTTTATTTACAGTTAATTTTTCTCGTAATAACCAATCATTGATCTTCAAAAACATTTAAAAATTTTCATGTATTACTAACTTAAAATTTTAGATTTTTAAGGCATATATATAAGAAATTACGGTTTATATTTAACGTTATAAATACGTAGAGAGAAAAGTTTAACTGAGTTAAATTAATTGGGAGTAAGAGCTTTTACGCTATTTATACACGAAGTTAATTTGAGTTAAGACGTAATCACATGCCACATCGTTTATATTTTTTTCTTCCTTTCATTCTAAGAGGCGTGCATAAATCTACAGTATTCCTGTTAATTTATCATTCTCTACAAGCATTTTTTAATTTCTACTTTCACGATGATGGAAGACGATACTTTACCACTCGACTTAGTGTTTCTCAGCCTGACATTGATCTAGTATACTGTTAAAATAAATCACAAAAATCTATAGTGATGCTTTAAGGCATATTAACGATAAGTTGTCGTATTTTTTATAGTTTATTATCTTTTATTTTATTTTTAGTTTATTTTTAACCTTCGAAAATTTAATATTTAATTTAATTAAATAACAAGAAAACGTGAGCTCGTTTATATTTGTTTTGAAAAAATGGATATAAAGTAACTAACTAGAATAGCTATTTTGATTATTTGGTAATTAGCATTTTTAACGATCATCAACGAGGATTAAAGCTTTAGTCGTATTGACATTATTACAACCGTAAGGCCAACATTTTAATGTCTCAAATTCGTGATAGAAAATAATTCATGATGAAGCATAACTTCGTTTATTTTAACAAAAATTATCATTATAAAATTAATTTGGAGAAAAAAATATCTCAGAAATTTCTATATTCTTGATAGTTTTAGTAGTTAATTAAGTCGATATATTTCTGTATTCGTCTCCCGGTCATATTTTATGGATATTCTTTATACACCCTTTCGTAGTATGAGAGGAGATAGAGCCCATTTCTTGGGGGCATGGCATAAAGGTTAGGGCAAGGATTGTGATCACTAATTGTAGAAAGTTTTTAATAAAAATTATTCTACGGGTAATTATAACTACTTAATATTCATTCATCTATAAATAATGTACGGATAATGATTTATAAATTCAGTTGCTTTTCTGATTACCTCCTCAAAACATTTTGATGAGGAAAAATTGTAAACAGATCCATATCGATGCTTATAAAACATTTCAAGATGCTCTTCTATCAGCGTTATTTTTTAAAATAAGTCGGTTTGTCTGTTCATAATATCATCCAGTTTGCTAATCGAATTAGTGGTGATAACTGATTTTTAAAACACTTCATTGTAGATTATATTTTCTTATTTTAACAATAAAATATCCAAAACGGGTGGTATAAAATTAAATAAAATCCTTTTTTAGTTTTATATTATTTTATAAAATGATGTTATAAAAATCAATGTTTCGTGAACAACTTTCACTTTGATTTTTTTAATAGTTTTTTTTTTACATTTTTCTCATTTATTTTTATAGCCCGTAAGAAATCAGCTATTTTATTAAAAATTTATTAATTTTCATTAGTTTATCATTTAATTTTCTGAACTGTGTAGCATGATCATCGACTTTTTATGAACTATTTAACAGTTATAGATAACACTCTTGTTACCCAGTTAAATAATAAAAAATTGCTCGTTTTATCGAAGGTAAAGAATTGCGGAATTTATCTTATTTGTATTGAAATTTTCTGAAAGATTAAGTGTAAATGATTATAATAATCCTTGGAAACAAAGTATGTTGTGTGTATTTATTTAATACTTAAGGTTACCATTGTAATATTTTCTACTCCATTATATAATATAGGTTAACATTTATCATTAATTGTTCGTGAACAATAGTTATGTTATTATATAACTTAAATGTTTTTTAATGAGTTATATAACTCATTCATAATTGTAATTAACTTACTTTCTGAGTGTCGAGAACCATTTTGATAAAAACATTTACAGTAATGTGTAAAATTTACATAACTTATATTGATAATTTGCTTTCTTTTTTCTTTTCTCTCTCCATTAATCGCGCAATGCAAATTAATGTTAGAGCAATATACGAATAAGACGTAACCAGATACTTAAAAGTATCGTTAAAAAGAGAGATTTCTTAAATTGCTTCATTATAAATTATCAAAATTATAAATGATATTGATTCTGGAAAATCATTTAGATTCTTTAAATGCTATTCTATTTAAATTCTTGACGTATGCATAAAAATTTAGTAGAATTTTGTACAAGTATTAAGCTTAGCTACTGTAAATATAATGGCACTTTAGACTTTTCACGTCAGGTTATTGTTAATTGTTGTTACTAATGTTTTAATTAAGTAATGGAGATAATAGAAGTTGATTAGAGCTCGTTATATTCACTTTTGTATTGTATTCGTTACAGTAGCAACGACCGTAACTTGATATCCAAGTCGCGCTACTCTAATATATCTTAACTACTAACGACAACGTAACAATTCTAAAGTTTCTAAAACACTAAAGTTAGGAGTTAGCATAACGAGAATAATTATGTAATCACGGTTGGTTTTGATTAATTCGATGCCTTTTAATCGGGAAAGAAGAAAATGAAAGAAAAGTTACTTCTTCCCCTATGATTAAAATTGGCAATTGTTTAGAAGAAATCGTACACTCGATCCAGTCGTAAACAAGTTGGAAGACATTTTCTTCTTTGATATTACGTTGATTGATTCTATAGCAAAATCATCTTGTTGATTGCTTGTCCATTCTTTTTTTTTTTTTTTTTTTTTTTTTCTTCTTTTTTAAACTTTATTTCGAGATCAAAACGCTATTTTTATATACTTTAAAATGAAATGAAATTACTTCAAATACAATATTTGATTTAATATTATAGTGAGAAAGTTAATGAAATGAGTTTTATTATTATCAATAAATTTATTATTTATTAAACAAGAATATACTTATGTATATGTTTATATAAATAATTTATATCAACGTTTTTTCTTTTAAATGTAATAACATAAAAGTTTAATTTTTTTTAAAAGAAACATTTCAAAATTGTTTTCTTATTCAGCATATCTGAACTGTTGGATGGTGAACTTCTAGAGAAATCAGGAATAATATTGTACAGTGTTTGTCATTTGTATAATATGTTAAGTAGATTGAAAAAATGCTGATTTAACATTGTAGTTCTCACTTGAAAGTAGCAATCATAAATATACAGCTGTTCCTTGATAATCCGACAGATATGGGATCAAAGGGGTATCGGATTACCAAAAGTATTCGGATTACCGAAAGTGATTACATATTTGGCATTGTTTTGCTAGCAGTAGGCTACAATATTCCCTACTCCAACTGTTCGAACAGAACTCACGGAAAACACGAAATGTGTGTCATCGTGTAAGAATTGGGTGGGGAGATTCACGTTGCGACATGCTTCTATGCAAGCAGACACGTAACGGGGACGGGTACCTTGACGGGAGATGCGTCGGACTACTGAGCATGTCGGATTACAAAACGTCGGACTATCAAGGGACAGCTGTATTAATGAACAAATGTCAAGTAATTAATTAATTACGGTATAAAAAATTAAATAATAATTTATTCTAAATACTTTGAATTCATTAACTTTGTAATTTTATTATAGAAAGCGATGTCGAGTAATATTTAAGGATAAGATTAACTTGATTACATTGCTTATTTTTTAAATATTATCTTATTTATCAAAATTAAAAATTTATTAAAATAAAAACTTGTTTCTAATTTTTGTTAAAAATATCAAAATTTTTTAGATTCTATTTTTATTTAGATATTCAAATGTCTGTTTTTATCTTATTTTAATTTATAAAATATTATGTCCTTGTTTTAAAGAATGAAGGGTTAAATTGCATTGTTTAATGTATTGTAACTTTCTATGCTCAGTAGAACTTTTATGGATCATATAGAAATACATGACTGTAAATTTGGCTTCAGATATCATCAGTCATATTTGTCCAATATTATATTATGTTTACAGCATATACATAGATTTTAATAAAAATTTTTTGTAAAATTTTTAATATCCAAGTATTCTGATTAGTTTTCCTTTTTATTTTTCAGGTTTATTTGGAAAACTAGTCATGTTTTTCTGATTGGAACAACATCACCTTATTACAGTATGAAGTTAGGAAGTAATTTCCAGTAGAAAAAAAAAATGTTCCTTATATTACATTGATATAAATTTTGATTTATTAATCAATATAAATTTTTAATCAAGAATTGCACAAATAAACTTTTCTTTAAATTTACTAATTAGTTTGTATTTCCAACTATCAGTATTGGGAAAAATAAATTTGTTTAATCAATTACTAAGTAAGCAGATGTGACTCAATAAAATCTTGTATAATGTAAAATATCTTGTTGAGAATCAATGTTGTTGATCTGTTAAAATTATTGTATCCATTGCTAACTTTAAAAAAAGAAAGAAAAAAAAAAAGGCATTTATGTTGTATACAGTATTTAAATATTTTTTATTAAATTCTTACATTCCTAGTCATTTTATGAATATTTAAATCAAAATAATTTATTTCAATGTGTATTTTTTTGTATTGTGTAAACCAAGTTTGAAATAAACAAGAAACTTTTTAAAATATTAAATTAAATGAGTGATTTTAGATGAATTTTTATTTTATTTTTGCTTTAAAATGATGAAAATATATCCCCGTTGATTGCAGTGGCAATGAATTAGTTTCATTTTTCTAATCCAATAAACAACTTATCAATTCTTTTCAACTGTATAAGAAGATTAAAAAATAAAGTGTTATTACCAATTGAACCAATTATGGAAACATTTTAAATGCAATAAATATTAAATATGATAAACTGGTAAGATGATGATGATGATTTTAAATTGAAATTGGATTATTTTTCATAGAAAATCATGTAAGATGTATCAAAAAAAGTGTGCTTATCTAATAATTTTTTTGTTCAATTTACGTCTCAAATAAGAAAATAAATATAATATTTCAATATAAATTCTTTTCTCATACTTGAACAGAAAAGTTTGTTTATTCTATTGATTTTTTCCTAAGAAGGATTTTATATTGTCACTTTGATTGAATTTAAAATTTTAAATGATAAAAATATTCTTAGCAAATATTCTCTGATAGAAGATTATTATGTTTTGTTATTTATTGTAAAAATAAATGTATATAATATCTTGAAAAATTTTTTTAATATTATAACTAAAGTTAAACAATTGTTAGATGATGCAAAACATTTCTTTAAATTTGTTTCATTAATAACAGATTGTCAGAAATTTTTTTTTTTAAATTCTTTTAAATGTATTATTTGTCAAGTTATTTATATTAAAAAAATTAAATAATATTTAAATGTTCATTTTTAAGGCTTTTTAAAATTTATTAAATCAAATCTTATGTATAATTAACGTTTTCATAATCATTTAAATTTTTTAATTAAAATTTTTAATGTAAAATTTTTATTTTTACATTAAAAATTAAAATATGTAAATGTTTTTAATGATATTTCATATAAATTTTTTAAACATTAAAATTATAAGATATGAAAATAAGACTATCTTGACAAAAAGAAAATTTCCTATTTTAATAATAGGTAATATCTTCATTTAGTTTTATTGGGGGAGGCTATCATCTGTCTATTGACATCACCATAATTGTAAGAAATAAAATAAAATATAAAGAAATAAATAAATTTATACATTGAATAATCTGTGACTTTCATATTTTATTCTGGATATGTTGTTGAAATATTAATATTTATACTTATTGTAATTATGGCTATATTGACTTATTTTTATTAAACTATAATACTTATTTACATTAAAAATTTACAAATATATTTAATATTTAAATTATGTTCAATTTATGGAGTGAATTAAGTTTAAATTTTATATATATATATATAATTAATCTAAGTCAGAATATAAGTCTGAACCTGAAGATAGTTTTAAAAAAGTGAAATATTTGTTAAATCAACATATTGCTATATTTTGCAGGGTTTTTGAAGATTCATTTCAACTTATATATATAAAAATTGAGAAAATTATAAGAAATTTAAACTGTTTCTTCAGATAACAATATAACATCCTATCTATAAGCTAAGACTGAGACATTTTGAAAATGTTTATTTTAAAGTAAAATAAATATCTGGATATATGAAGTAGTAGTTTTTATTTTTTATAATTTCAAAGATACTGCAGATCAACACCAAAATAAATATTCATTAAATAAAAAGTAAACCTTTCTTCAATGTTAAAATCCCAAAGATGCTTTATTTTTCATTTAATTTCTTATAATTTGCAATATAATGCCAAGATTTACTCAAGTTAATTAAGAAGTATTTTTATATATGGATCTAATTTTATTAATAAAATTAAGTAAAGTTTCAANCTGGGCGATATAGTAAAACATTATGTTAAGAATAATTAGATATTTTATTCATTATATCGTACAATAATTAAACAAATAACATTATACTAATCACTAGTCTATTCAATGCAGTACGCATTTGGCGTTAGCGTTGTCCCTCGGCATCAGAATTTTGTAGTGAAGGGGGCAATACTACGTAACAGTTTTATTGAAGGGGGCGATGATTCGTTAGAGTTTGAGAAACACTGGTCTACAACCTCCATATGGCCAAGAGGCCATGATAGCATGCCTCTAGCTATTCTAGATAGATACCAATAATAGATTATGATCTAAGGCTCAGGAGTCTTCACAGTTAAATTGCTGATTATATAGATGCCACCATCAGCTATTGCAGAAACCCACAATGTATAAAATGTTAAATATAATGGTTTCATTAGTAAATAAATAAATTCTAATGATATTGCTAACTATTGGCTTTATGTTTAGATGGATAATGTCCAAATATTTTCATTATTTAACATGTAATTTTAAAAAATCAATTTAAAGATAACAAGAAACTTTTTGAAGCTTGAGGATAAAGAAAATTGGATTAAAAGCGATCTAAGAATACTTATTTTAGAAAGTTTTATACATTGGCGACAAAATACATATGACCTTTGCACAAAAAGTCATACGATAATAGCAGAGAAAAATGAATGGAAAAAAAAAACTTTCAACTAATTCATTGGAGGCGATCTTTAATTTAACGCTTGGTTGCTTCAGGTATTTAGTTTTTAACTCTTTCAAATTAAAGAGCGAAACTATCGTAAAAAGTAACAAGCTTGATTGTAAAATAAAGTTATGATAATCAAATATGATTATCAAGTCACTTCACTTTTATAAAACTTTTCTAACGAACTGTAATTTTTCAATTGAGAGTAAAAACTTAAATAAAAACATTGGTTTAGTTTCATATCTGGCAGTTTACAAAATAATTTATAATCTAAATTTTTTATTTTAGAAATGAAACATCTATAAAGATGTATAGAGTATTTCTTAGAAAATATATCCGAGAAGATAAGCAAAGTTGAACAAATCTAACTTTTATGGATTTGCTGATCAAATATAATGACGTTGTTAAGTCTCAGAATAACTATGCGGCATTTATCACTGAATAAATGTTTATTTAATGTTATTCTCCTTGATGAGAGCCATTTCACCGGATGTCATTTATCACGTGACGACCCCCTGGAGTACTTGCAGGAAGGATAGTCCCGCTTCGGTATTATCTTTTCCTGCACTTCTATTGTTTCGTTTCAGGAAACTGGTAAAATTTATTAGCATCGACACCCAAAGGGTTACAATATACCTTCGATCAACAAATTAATACTAGACTCGTAAAAAAAGATTACTTTTTTATCCTTTAAAAGCCTCCGTTAACATAAATGAGCCTTTGAAAATTAGCTAAATTAGCCTCTGATGATAAATTTTTATCGAAAATCCTGAGATACGATTCTTAATTGAAATTCGTTTCATTAGTGATGTAAATCAAATCACTTTATCGAATTTAACCATAGAAAAATCTATAAAATAAACATTTAATACGTATGAGATATAATTTCTTTTATTTTTGTCTATAAATTGCCGCCGAGGAAATTAATTATATATTTAAAGTAGATTTTAAACATTAATAAAATGTAGACATGAATTGCAAGTTATCTTTCTCTATTTGTCTCTCGAACAGAAAATTCTCGGGTGTTTATAATTTCACTTCTTATTTTCTCAGCTGAATTAATTTATGTATTGATTGATAATGGTTAAAATTATAGCATTTATAGCGATAAAATGTATTAACCACGTAAGATAATATCTAGGACATTATAAAACTAGAGCGTGATTCCTTTATTGAATGCCCTCTCGTCATATATCTTTGAATTCTTCAGAATTTTGCCATTCTCTCTAAGGTTTCTCCTGCTTTCAGAGGTTGTAAGAAACCTTAAAGCGGGTCGCAATGTTCTAAACTATTATCTACACATAATAATAATTTTGTCTATTGTGTACGTGTCTCTCCCAAATTATGAAAATTCTGAATCTGATATCTCAACGTGTCGCTAGAAGGATGCAAGAAACATAACAAGATCCGGTAATTAACGTTTATAAAATTCGGAAGAACTGATTCGATAAAAAAAAAGTATTGATTATCTCAGTTTGAATTTTTAAATATTTAAAAAATAGAACCAATGACCGAATGGATACATATACGTATATCATTTATACAGATTTCAAAAATAAATAGAAAATTTAAATCAAGTTTACTTTTCAAATCAATTGATTAATATTTTAATAATTTTAATTAATTAATATTTTATAATCTAGTTAATAATAATTATATTAAATAAGTTGATTTTTTAATTAAAAAATTAAATTATTTTTTATGATATTGCATTTTTTCCATTCGTTAGAAGTATCGAAATTAACGATTTTAGAATATTTTGGATTTTGTTGAAAAATATTTAAAATTTTATCTACTTTAAAGAAAAATATATACTTTGACAGCTTTATTAGAAAATCTGATGTCATCAATTGATTTTATTGTGTATCAGACGGTGGAAAATTAAAGAGAATATTACAATAAACTTTCGAGAATATACATTAAATTGAAAGTTGGCTGTTTTACTTTCATGTAGATGACATAAATGTAAGCTACTAACGTATATTCCGAATTTAAGATACCCTTTTTTAACGCATACTTCTGAGCCTACCAATGACCGAATTGATAAAAACCTACACTGGTCGCGGGTTCGTGCCTCACCAACGAGCTGAGGTGTGGAGTTTTCTGGATTTACTTCACTGTCTAACACCTAAATAGGGACAGTCTCCCATAGAAAGTCCTCCCGAGAGACAGATCGCCCATGTAGACCCAAATCCACTAACAATTGCTCGGGGCTCGCGCCTGACTAGGGGTTGGCAACGTGGAGTTTTCCTAAATATTGCCTTCTTTCCGGGAAGCACTACCGTGGGCAGATCGCTAACGTGTTGCACTGTCTTCTTCCATTAATCGAAATCAAATGAACTTATTAATGTATTAAACTACATTAAGAATAGGTTTATAGCTTAAGGTTATGAAAGACATTTGATTGAATTGTATAAAATATCACTAAAATATTTAAATTCGACTTATATGATGGCGATTTAATAATATATTTATCAAAAATTACAATTAACAAGACGTATAACAACTAATTAATATCAATGTAGCGAAGTACTTCG